CCCTATGTATCTGACAGCTGTGAGCGTGTGTGAGCAATGTGAGGGCCGGGAGAAACAGGTGCTTGTCCCCCAAACCTGCTCAACACACAGCCAGGCACTGTCCTACTCACACCCATGCACACGCAGCCTTGGCCCTCTGACACATATGACTGAGGGGAGAGGGAGTTCGGGCTGCCGGGGCTTCGGCCCAGCTCTGCCCCTCCCTCATGGAATGGTCCTGAGCAAAGATGCTCATCTTTCCAATCCTCAGTTTTGTCATCCATAAAGGAAAGTGATGCCACCAAGCTTCTTGTGAACATTGAGTAACATGATGTACATGAAGGTTCTGGCATGCACAAAGTGCTCAATAAATGTAGTGACTGGAGGATGGGATGGATGAGGATCGCACAGTCGCGTGCACCCAGGCAGTGACACATGAGGGCTGAGGCATAGCTGGCTATGCTGCCCCTTGGCCCACTCCCCGCTTCCATTTCACTGACCTGGTCCCTTGTTGTGGAAGGAGTAGGTTTTGCCTTATCTCACTCTCCCAGTGCCAGTGCTGGGCTGGAGCTGGGACTGACCTTCTGGACAGTGTGAACGGTCTTGCCTGCAGAGGGGGCAGGTGCTCTGGGTAGTGTAGACAACTCCAGCTGGAGATGAGGGCAGACACTGGGTGCGATGGACACCTCTGGCTGGTGAGAGGCCATACTGATGCGAGTGTAGCTGCTGGTCTGGGGGCACTGACGTGGATCTCAGTTGTAAGTGGCCCTGGGGGGCGGGCTCAGGGCGGGGCTGAAGAGGCGGGGCCACAGGGCATGCGGCTGCTCTCCAGAGCCCCGAGGGCAGGGTTGCCCCACTCAAAGCTGCCAGGGGTGGTGGCCCAGGACAGTTCATTGCAAGATGGACAGAGACACGGAAGGAGGCAGCTCCCTGATGGACCCCAGGTCATGGAGCGGCAGGCAGGGTAGGCACAGGGCTGCGTGGAGAGGGTGTGGGTGTTGGGAAAAGACCTGGGTACAGTGGGGATGGCGCTGGAAGGGGTGCAAGGGTGTTGGGGGTCTCTCCAGGTGTAGGGGTGCTCCAGGGGGGCATTAGTCTGTCACTGGCATGGAGGAGGGGGAACACTGTCGCCTTGCAGGGGAAGGGGGCAGGGCCACGGGGGAGCTATAAATAGCTTCTTCCTCCAACCCAGGGGGAGGGACAGCCAGCTGGAGCTGCCGGGGGCCCTCCTGCTCTGCCTTTTGCTGGCCTCCAAGGGGTCACGTTTGTCCAGATCCCCCCTCAGGAGGCACACCAGTTTGGGGAGGTCCAGAGACTCATTTGGAAAATTTTTCATATGATGTGACTTTAGCCCTTATGCTAGCAATTCCAGGGCACCTACCGTGTGCCTTGTGCCGGTCGGGCTGCTCTAAGCACCTACTGTGTGCACTGTCCTGGTCATGAACCTCTCTGAGCCCTTACTGTGTGTGCTGGCTGGTCCTGAGTCACTCTGAGCACCTACTGTGTGCCCTGTGCCAGGCTGGAATCAGTAATTGCAGACCAGAGCTCACAGGCTGCTTGGTCACATGGCTGCATACCCCCAAGTAGTAAACTCACACCCTCTGTGAGCTCTGGGCCCATGGAGACACAGGGCATGATCCTTGGCTAGAAATGGCCAGAGGAAGCTGGAATCCTGGAACTCCTCAAACCTCTCAGAGGCAGCAGAGGGGATGGGAATGGGAATAAAGGAGAAGGGAGGCAGGAGACAGCAGCAGGCCCCACTGCAGCCTGCCCATCTCTGCTCAGGCCTGGATGCAGGCTTGTTAGAGTGTGTGCATGTGTGGCTGTGTGCACATGTAGGCTTTCATGCATTAACATGTTGATCTGTGTGGCATTCACTGAGATCCCGGGGACCTTTATGCTGCAAAGGGTGGTTTTTTTTTCTCCCCAAAGCCCCAGTGCATGGTTGTATATCCTAGTTGTAAGTCCTTCTAGTTCTTCTATGTGAACCACCGCTACAGCTACACAGCTACAGCATGGCAACTGACAGTCAGGTGGTGTGCTTCTGCGACTGGGAAATGAACTGGGCTGCCAAAGTGTTGAGAACGCCCAACTTTAACCACTAGGCCATCAGGGCTGGCTCAGGTGGCTTTGCAGATACAGAGACTGGGAAGAGTTTGGACACTGAGAACTGAGGATTGAGGACTCTGGCCACCCTACAGCTTGTAGCCTGGAGGAGGTCCACTGATCAGTGCAGAGGGCACCACGGGAGCCAACTGGGGCCAGGCCAGGCAGGTTGATGGTGGAAAGAGGCTCAGCAGGACACAATCACACACGAAAGCATGCTGACATCCCAGCACACTTCCCACCCCTGGGCCAGGATAGATGGCTCACTTTGGGATGGCCCCAAGAGGGAAAAGCCATGAGGGCTGGTTATTCTTTTGAGCACCTGCTGACATTGAGGGAGCAGAAAGTCAGGAGAACATTTCAATGGGTGGAGTGAACAAGCAAGAGCACAGGTGTGGAGGTGGCAAGTGTAGTGATAGTGCAAGGTGCGAGAGGCAAGGTTCTGAAGGGCTGGGAATTGATCTGAGTCCATCCTGCACTGTGGGCTGGCGCTGACACTGGGCCCTGATCCTCTTCCTCAGTTTGCTACTCTAGAAACGGGGCCAAGGGAGGAGTCATGGGGAATATGCTTGAGCAGATGTAGACCCCGGCCTTGGGGAGCGGCCCCAGGCTTCTCTTGCTGTTGACCTGTGGCCTCTCACTGGATATAGGGACTTGGGAGGGTGTGTCTGGGTCAGCTCAGTGTCAGACTGTTTGGGGAAGAGTGGGAGGTGCAGAGCCACTGCTTTTCCTAGGAAGCCAGACTGTCTGGGTGTGATGATGGCTTCCGGGAGATGGTCCTGGCTTCCTGCCCTGCCCTGCCTGCCCCCTACCCCCAGCATTTGATCACATCCCAGGAGGGCTGAGGAGGAGAATGGGTAGGCCTGAGGAGGGGCTACATATCTGAGGATGTTAGAGGAGACAGTCTTTGTAATGAGTGCTGAGGGTTGAACAGGGTGTGGGTGTGTGGTGACAGATCTCTGAGGCCAGAGTGGCCCCAGAATGGCCTTGGCAGTAGCCAGGAGACAGACTGGAGGGCTGGATGTGTCAGGAACAGAATGAGTGGCTTTGGAGAAGTAGGAAGCATGCGGGAGGTCACAAGGGGCATCCTGCTCATCAGGGGCCGCCCACGGGTATGCTTAGAGCTGCTGGGCATGAGGTGGAGGGAGATGGGGTGTGGACACTGCAGCGGGAGCGTGAAGGAGGAAGTGGTGGACTCTGTCTGGGTCAGGGCATTCCCCGGATAGGCAGTTAGAGCTGGTTTCAGGGAGTGTCTAGGTGGGTTTCCAGCATGTGGACCTCCTGAACCTTCATTTCCTGTGAAGTGGGCAAGACATCTGTATCAGAGTCATCTTAAGTGTCCCTTTTTTTTTTTTAAGGATTGGCACCTGGGCTAACAAGTGTTGCCAATCTTTTTTTTTTTTTTTTTATGCTTTATTTCCCAAAACCCCCCCGGTACATAGTTGTATATCTTAGTTGCAGGTCCTTCTAGTTGTGGGATGTGGGACGCCGCTCAAAGTGGCCTGATGAGCGGTGCCATGTCCGCGCCCAGGATCCGAACCCGGGGCCGCTGCAGCGGAGCGCGCGAACTTAACCACTCGGCCACGGAGCCGGCCCCTTAAGTGTCCTTACTGGGCTCTGAAGGGCTGGGTGGTGATTTGGAGGACTAACCCAAGGCAGGGGCTGGCAAGGCGGTCGGAGGGAAGGACCACTGCCCCTGTGGTTCACTGGGTTGAGCCTTGTTCTCCATGCCCCCAGCACCTGGCTCCTGACTGGGCACATACTGGGCAGAGAACTTGAGGACTTAGTGATCCTGTAGGGGGTGTGGTGGAGGACATCGCTAGAGGGCAGTGTGACCCAGGTTGGAGGAGTGTCGGTGGGGCCCCCCCCCCCCCCGCCAGAAAGTGTACAAAGCTTGGGGAGGAGGTAGGACAGGAGAGAATGTGCCAGGGGTTCCTGAACTTCTGGATCTCTCCCTTGCCTCTTCCCTCCACTGCCTTTTGAGAAACAGGAGGGAGATAATATAATAAATAACACTAACGTCCTATAGAATAGACTTCTCAGACATTGACATATTTAATGTATACCAGAATCTTGTATGATTGATGACGTGTGCATTCCATATTCCTGATGGAGACAGAGGGTCATTAAAAAAATACGTAAACTTACGATTTAAAATTTAATTGGTAAAAATGAAATCCTGGAAGAAGTAAGATCCTGCCAGGCTCAGTGAGTCCCCAGAGAGCTTGGTTACAAGGTCCTGCTCACATGCTCTAGGTGGGCTGGGTTTACCCCAGCAGCCAAGGCAAAGAGAGAAACATGATCAATTTTGAGATTTGTCCCGTGTCCCCGTGCAGGAGATAAAGGAGTTTTTCCAACATGGTTAAGCCGGTCGCTTCTGTGGGAGGGGAAGAGTTCAGGGGCTCGGAGGAGACAAGAGGATCCCAGCGCAAGGCCAGCAGGGAGCGGCGGAGGTGGCAGCGAGACGATTAGAGTTACGCAGGGGCCACCGGGCTGGTTCTGACCAACCAAGCCCTGCTGGTCACGCAGGTCCTGCCCCATTGCATGCAAACTCCTCCCTCCCGGGAGTCTCTGAGGTCTCACGCTGCAGGGAGAGGAATCTCGGGCGCGCTGGGGGAGAAGCCGTGGGTAAGGACTATGCAAATCAGCGCAGTCGGCTTGGGTGTGCTAGGCTCGTGCATCCGGGGCGGGGCCTACACTATCCAGGCCTGGAACATGTAGAGAGGTGGGCATGCGTGTCCGCGATCCTGGCAGGAAGGGTGGGCCCGCTTGATCCAATACGGCTCGTAGGCGAGTTGGGCATGCGTGGTCAGAGGCCAGGCCCTCTTCAGTTGGGGTGGAGCCTACTTGTTCTGGGGCGGGGCCTGCAGGGAGTTGGACCTGCGTCACCGAGGCTTGAAGGGGGGCGGGACCGAGGGGCGGGGCCTCGAGTGGCCCGAGGTGGCCCGGCTGCTGGTTAGCAAGCGGCGCAGTCCGACTCATCCTCGCCCGGGGATGGCGTCCCCACGGGAATTAACCCAGAACCCCCTGAAAAAGATCTGGATGCCGTACAGTAATGGGCGGCCCGCCCTGCACGCCTGCCCGCGCGGTGGTGAGGCGGGGTCGGCGGGGTCGGGGGAGGGCGGTGCCCTGGGATGAGTGGGTAGGGCAGCCTGGGCAGTGGTCTCGCAGGGAGCAGGGGCCGGGAACAGGTGAGGAACCGGGGACAGGTGAGGCTGCCGTGACTCGTGGGAGGGGAGCAGGAACAGGTGAGGGACCGGGGACAGGTGTGGCAGAGCGTGGGGCAGGGACAGGTGTGTGGCGGCGTCTCGGCTTGGCAGGGGCCAGGTCTGGCCGCCATCACCTAGGGGAGGGCGCCAGCCTCTTTGCACCCCACTCTGTCTCGACCGCTGCAGGCCAGTGGAGGACTCGGAGCCTTGGTCCTGCCCTCTCCTGCTGGCCAGAGAGCCTAGGGCGGGTGGTTGGGCCAGGTCTGAGCTGTGTTGGCCCTGGGGGAATCGCTTGGCTTCTCTGAGCCCAGAACTTTCAAAGGCCCAGGGGTGGGCTAGTCCTCTAGTGGGAGAAAGCGAGCCCTTTGACCTTCATCACCCACCTCTGGGCCTAAAACCGAGTTTTGGGATGAATTTCAGGGAAGTGCAGATGTGTTCAGGACAGAGACAGTGAGAACACTGTGCTGTATGGCCCTGTTTGTGTCCCTGGGTGTGTAAGCATCCACGTGGGGTCTGGGTGAATGGTAAAATTGGAGGGTGAAACGTCTAGGAGACATGGTGAAATCCCTGGAATTGTTAAAGGGCTCACCTTTCCTGGGGTCTTGGGTGTTTAATCCACTTCCTTGACTTTCTACTTGCCTTAAATGAGCCTGCAAGCTTTTATTACCAAGAAAAACAAAGATTTGTTTTAGGAGTAACTGAAACATTGTAATGAGTTTGCAAGTTGTCAAGGACCTCAGAGAACATCTAGTCGACTTTTGGTACAGATAGGGAAGTGGAGATGAGGAGATCGTGTTATCTGCTCCATCTCCCTGCACTCCTGACCTCTGTTTGGGGGTGATAAGGAGGGGACAGTGCTGGGAGCTTGTCTTGCTTTGAGGCCAGCCTGGGGGCTTTGGCTTTGGCTTTGACCGTGATGGGAATCCTGGGGGAGGAGTGTATGTATCCCTTACCGCACTGTGGGGCCTGGTAGCGGGTGGCCATGGCTTTGACCAGATGTTCTGGTGGGTCGTGGCTCTGACTGTGATGTAGGTCCAGGTAGGGTGTGCGGCCATGATCATGCTCTTGGCCCTGGGGCCATGGCTTTCCAGTCAATACTCTGAGTCCTGAGGGGCTATGGCCATGCCCTATCCAGCCCTCCTTCCAGACTTTTCTGGAGGTGTGGAGGGCAAGGCCCTTCTTCTTGTGCTTCTAGTCAGTGTGTGTTAGGGCTGTGTTATCCTAACTAGTGGGTGGCTGCTGTTATTATGTAAAGGAGAAGGAGGAGAATTTGGACTTGGGAGGCAGAAACACTCAAGCCGCATCCTTGGTGGCTCAGCTGTGCGACCTTGGGCAAGCAGCTAACCCTCTAGGCCCCCGCTCCCTCATCTGTGGGGTGGAGACAGTCGTCGTCCCTACTCCATGAAGCTGCTGTGAGCCTCTTCACGGGTACATATTCCATAAGTAGTAGGTGCTTCGTAAGTGGTAGCAGGTAATTTTGTAATTACATCGCCAGTACTCTTTCTTTGCTCCTCCCTACCTCGAAGTCAGGGATTGAAGCATCAGCTGTGTGCCAACCCCCGTTACAGGTGGAAAGGGAGCTGGGATCCAATGGGGAGGGGACTTTCCCAGGTCTCACAGCCTCTGGAGCATGGCCTGTGTTTCTCCAAGCTCTAAGTATGCTATTAAAATATGTCTCTGCCCTGAGCAGAGAGGGGCTCATGCCATCGCAGTGTCTCTGGGTGTTGCAGTGGGTAGGACTGTGGGGTGGCCCAGCACAGGAGGGCTTCCTGGAGGAGGAGGTGGCATCCAAGAGCTCAAAGATGAGAGACCTGCAGATTGTGTGGGGGTTTGGACCCCAGGCTAGGGTCCCAGAGTTCACAGCAGGGAGTCAGTAAGCAGTGAATGACCATGGAAGCTGCCTGTGCAGCACCTCCAGTTCCCAGAGTCTGCATTTGTACAGCGTTTTACCCTCTGCACGGTGAGTTTATGACTAAGTTGGAGGACAACAAGTGTCCCCGCCTGAGGGAGGTCGTCTGCCCGCTCCAAGACATGCCAGTAGTGGAGAGGCAAGGTGGTAGGAGAGAAAGGGATTTATTACAGCTTGCTAGCAAGAGGGAAGATGGCCAACTAATATCTGAAAGAACCATCTTCCAGAACAAAGACTACAGGCAAGTTATATAGGGGGCTGATCTCCGGGTGGGGGCAGACATCTGCTCCCAGTTCTTGATAGTCTTTTGTTTTACTGGGTATGCATCAGAGACCTGAGCAACACCCTGTACTCTGATCTTTCAGTGTCATTAATGATGGGTATCAGCATAGGCTCTCTGCCTTTGGGTCATCACGTAACTAAAGAACTGAAAAGAGCAAAGTTATCAACTTATAGCAGCTGGGAGGGGCCATAAAATCTACAGAGCATGTCTGGGTTAGTTAATCAGAGGTCATTCAAAGTTACAATATGGTTTCTTTTCTATAATATGGCTTCCCTTATGGCAGCCTTGTGTTGAGCTGGTATCACAAGGAGAGGTGAGGACCTGAGGGTGGGAAGTGAGTAGAAGTTGACTTGATCACAGGGCTTTAGAAGAGAGGATTTGAGGCCCATGGCTGGTCTGTGCTGTGACGTGGGTTGTCTCTAGGGTCTAGTGCCCTGCTCTTCAGGCACCAGAAGCTGGTTGCCTGAGGGCTGCCCCTCCTCCACCCCCACTCTCCGTTAGCAGTTCTTCCTCCTTTTGATAAAATTCAGAGCCACACATGAGCGGTTACCTTGTCACTGACCCCTCAGCTGGGACCTGGAGGAGCTCTGGGTGCTAGTGTGGCAGGGGATGAAGAGGGGACTCAAGGAGCACGGCAGAAGGGACAGTGTCTGTCTGATGGCTTTTCTTAGCCAAAAGGTGGCAAGACTCTTATTGGGTCAGGTCACGACTGGTGTGTGCACAGGACAGTAAGAGACAATTTCTGTCCCCTCTGAACAGGAAAGTCATGCTAGCTTGCTTTATTTTAAAGAGCTCTTCCTTTCCCAGACTGGCCCGAGGAAGTGGGAGTGGCAGGTACAGTTCAGGAATCAGTTCTGGAACCCACTCCAAGGACTTGTGACTGCCACTGCAGTGTCACCACCAGAAAGTAGTCACTGTCTAGCCCCAGGCTCGTCTCAGGCCTCTCCCTGCTAGGGCTCCTGTGGCTTTGAACACGTTTACAGGAAGAGGAACTAGCGAGAGAAGCTGAGTTGACATGTCTTCGGAGTTCCTTCCACACATGCCCAGTGTTCTGAACGGTGTGTGCGGCTGTCCTGTTGCTCAATCTCGGGGGCCTTAAGGGCGCAGAGCTGCAGTTCCAGCTGCACACCCAGTTCCCCTGGCCCACGCACTCTCTGTTCAGTTGGTGTGGTGTGTTCCCTTCATGCGGGCTGCAGTTGCAGCTTCTCCATTGCGGGGACTCGCCCAGTGTTTTGCTCTCGTAAGCAGAGCTGCTATGAGTACACTTGTACTTTGTTTGGTTTTCCCTTTGAATCATTTCCTTGGGAGCTTATCTTGAGGAACAGAGGTGATAGGCAATTTATATCTCTTGTTTTGTGCATCTAGCCCTGATTTGCTGCCCTGCCTGCCCACCATGGGTGTGCGTGGGGCAGGGGCGAGGCTGTCACCAAACTCTGTGGGAGGAGGGCAGAGGCATCTCTGGGAAGATAGATGTGAAGAGGGGATGCAGGACCCCAATCCTGAGGTCATGGGCGTGCCCTTCAGGGAGCAGCGGGAAGGGGTGTCCTTGTCAGAGGGAGCAGGGTGGGTGCAGGTTTCCCCTGCGGTTAGTAGCTGATGTACTGCCCTGCCGTTGCTTGAGAGCCCTGGCCGACCGGCCAAGAATTGTGTAAACAGCGCCGTCACTGGCCCTCAGGACGCAGAGCCTTGCCTAACTTGTTTTCCTCTCGCTCACTGTCAGCCTATATTCCATGGGATCCCCTCTCTCCCTCCCCTGGGGCTCACAGTTCGGGTCATGTTTGCCAAAGGCCATGCACAGGAACGATGGGGCCCCCACTGGCAAGCAGAGCCCCTTACTTCTCTGCAGGGCCTGCTTGGGGACGGACAGGGGCCTTTGCACCCGAAGTCCCAAGGGCAGTTGGTGCTGAGGTGCACCTGTGTCCTTAGTCAGGGTGCTGCCAGGGTGGGGCAGAGGGCTCAGCTTCCTGGAAGTGCTCCAACTTTTACATAGAGAAAGTGCCAGATCTCGCCAAGGGATTATCATCCTGTTTTACAGGTGAGGACACTGAGGCTCAGAGTTGCCGTAAGTGTCAGAGTCAAGATAGGAACCCAGGCCTGTGTGACTCCTGACCTCCAGGCTGCCTCTGGGGCCCCTGTTCTCCAGCTCCAGTGAGGGAGACAACTTGAGGGGCAGGGCCCAGCAGTCTGTCTAGGGAGGCCTACCAGATGAAGGCAGGTGAAGGAGGGGCAGTGACAGGTCCCTTCATCTGTCCATCTGTCTGGCTGCTGTGACAGGGCTTCAAGGGCTTTCACCTGGCCCAGGTCCTGAGGACCATGAAAGGGAGACTTCCTCAGGCTTCTGAGGTGAGACCACACTGAAAGCTGTGCTAGGTCACATGAGGCTGGCAGTTCTGCTGCCTTGGTGTCTGTCCTAGTGGGCCAGGGATTGGTGGGGGTGCTGTGTCCAGACCCTTCCCCACTCAGAGCCTCAGCAACGGCTCTGCTCAACACACTGGCCTGGTGGCACCTGGGATGCTGGTGGGTGGGCTGTCAGAGGGACTGTTCTTGTGGGCATTGGCCTGGACCTCTGGTCTCAGTCCCTTGTGGCCCTCACCCTGGTGAGTTTCGAGATGCCTCTCTCCCCACTCCTGCCCATAATTTTTGAGCTCCAACTCTGTGCCACACCTCAGGACCCCAAATGACTCAGCGCTGCTTCTGTTCTGAATGGTCCGTCGATGGGAGCAGACTCGTTAGTGAGGTGCCAGGGATTGAGAGGGAGAGTGTACCAGGTGGGCATGGAGGTGCTTTGGAGGAAGGACTCAGTGAAGAAGCATTTGAAGAGAGGGTAAGCAGTAGGACTGTGTGATTATTGGGGTGGGAGTATGGATTCCTGGGTGACAGGCAGGGTGTTGAATAACCCACTGGGTTTTGGCTCTGTCCTGGATGTCATGGGAACTCCCCAGCAGTGTTTAGCCAGATGTGTGGCAGGTCCAGCTTTTTATCTGGTGATTCACAACAGGATAAGTAAGGGCTGGCTAGATATCTCTGCGTCTGCGAGAGCCCAGATGGGCTTGGGGAATGGAAGCGTACCAGCAGTGGCTGGAGAATAGGGTCTGGGGGTGCTCAGGGAGCTGTCTGATGCCAGTCCTGTGCTCTGAGGCTGAGGCACCATGGGCGGAGAGGGAGCGACACCCTGGGAGGGGTTTCGGCCCTTGTCTGATGCTGTGTTCCTTGCTTTTCAGTTTGCATGACCAACTGCCCGACACTCATTGTCATGGTGGGCCTGCCTGCCAGGGGCAAGACCTACATCTCTAAGAAGCTGACGCGCTACCTGAACTGGATTGGGGTGCCCACACGGGGTGAGCCTTGGCCTCGGCTTTCCAGAGGGGCTTGGAGCTTTGTTGGGGAGGAGGAGGAGAAGAGAGAAGGCTGGACCACGGCAGGGCCTGGGGGTGAGTCAAGATCAGGAGTTGGGGAGGGTTGCTATTGTGTGAAAGCTGAGCCGCTTCTTTCTCCCAGAATTCAACGTTGGCCAGTATCGCCGGGACATGGTCAAGACATACAAATCTTTTGAGTTTTTCCTTCCAGACAACGAAGAGGGCCTGAAAATCAGGAAGTGAGTATGTATGTATGTGTGTGTGCGTGTTCACAGAGAAGGCCCTAGAGCCCAGTTGCTAGTGTTACCTGAGCTGCTCCTGAGCCCTGGCCTTGGCCGGTGCCGATGGGCTATGGCAGGGCTGGTGTCTTGACCTCTCAGCATGTGGTGGGGTTGTGAATGTGATGGTCTTGGGGACAAGGGGAGATGGTATGTGGCCTCTTGGTGGCTGGCCGTGCCCTACCCTGCTATTAATGACCCCTTGGTAATGGTATCCTGTGGGAGGAGAGGATGGGGCTTTAGGGAGACAGAGGAGGCTGAATCAGGGCAGGTGAGGGCTGGGCCACCCCCTCCTTGGGGATGGCCTCTAGTAGGAAAGGGAGCCGAGTGGGTGCAGGGATACAGTCCTCAGGGATGGGGCAGAGTGGGACTAAGACCACTTACTGGCACCTTCTCAAGGCCAGAATGATCAGGCCCTGAACTGGGGCTTTTCCTCCCTTGCCCCAGGATATGCCCCTTCTGTGTATTTGTAGGATGCTTGACGTTCTTGACATGTGTCAGCTAGGCCTTGGCTTTGCTTTGAAGTGGCCTCCTGTAGCTGGGTGACTAGTTTACACTCCCAGTCTTATTCATGAGGTGGAAATTTACATATGATACCCTACACTTACCACAATTCAGACTCGAACTGAATGCCTTCTCCAGAGAAACGGCACCAGCTGGTGGTCTGAGGAGCTGTGCTGTGCTCTTCTTGGCAGGTGTCAGCTGAGGGATAAAGAAGCTTCCTTGCCCTTTCTCTGGGCCCAGCCATTGTGGTAGGGCAGTGAGCAGAGGTTGGCCTAGCTCTAATGACCTCCCCAAATCCAGCACAGCCCTGGGACAGAAGCCTTGGGCTGTTGTGGACTTCTGGATACTAGGCTGTCTGCTCCCTCTCTGACCACCAGGGGGCAGGAGCTCCCTCCGACCCACCTCCCCGCCCCCCCACCCACCCCCCCCACTGTCACCGCCCCCCATGGCCCTTCAGTTGGCCTTCGCTCTTGGGTCATTGGGGCTAGGTCAGGCTGCTGCCCCAGAGAAGGGAAGGGGAGTCTGGCATCCAGGCCTCTGTGGCTGAGCTGTGAGTAAAACTTGAGGTTGGACCTTCTGGTGATATCCAGCCAGATGAAACAGTCTGTTGATCCTGGCGATGCTATGAATGAGCGATGTCCACAGTGTGCTGTCCTCAACAGCCCTACGGTACCCCTGTGGCAAAAAGACAAAAGGGATGGGACTGATATTTGAACTCCTACTGTGTGCTGGGTGCATGGTGCCCCTTGTCCCCCCTACCCCCATTTTATAGATGAGGAAACTGAGGTTCAGGAGTCTCACACAAGATCCGTTACTTCACAGAGCCCAGACTTGAATCTAAGCCCACCTACCACTAAAACTGTTCTGCCCGTCATTCCAGTATTACCCAATTAGTAGGTCAAAGGTCGTATCAAATGCAAATTCTACAACAGCCTCAAGTTGTAGGCACTCATGAGCTTGTTTGCTCTTCCCTACGGTGGGTGGTGGTTCCTCACTCCCAGATGCTGAGACGGAGGTCAGAAAGTGATGGTGTTGTCTGGGATCACTCAGGGTTTGAGTCTGAGCCAGGCCTGTCAGTCCAAAGTGTTTGTGGGAAGAGTAAGGGGGCTGGCATTCCCAGAGCCCTCCAGTCATTCCATGCAGGCTGCCCATTGAAGTATTGGGATTAGTTCAAATGGGGAAACACAGATTCAGAGATTGGGGAGCTAGTCCAAGGTCACCCAGCTGAAACAGAGGCCCCCACTGAAGAAGTTGAGGGCAGGTTCACATGTGCCTCTCTGACGGGCACCTCTGACTGTTCTTAGAAACCCTCCCTCCTGTAACCAAGGCGTCGGTCTGGCCACTGGGCCACAGGGCCGTTTCCCATTAACCAAACCAAAATGTCCCAGAGATAATTGGCAAAATGGAATGATCAGACTTTTTAAAAATGGGAGACTGAGAGGAGAAGGCTGCATCTTCTTGGGGACGCTGGCCTCGTGACAGCCCCGACGGCACAGTCCTTTGATGCACTGGGGATTTACACACAAAATCTGAAGATCAAACAAATGGGAGGAGATCTGACTTTACTCTTACATCAAAAAAGTGAAGGTATTAGACAGAAGATCAAAGTGATTTATCTATCTCTGGGCCTTGTAGAAGAAACGGATAAAAATGGAAAGATCCTGGGGGCTGGTCTGGTGGCGTAGTGAGTGGTTAAGTTTGGCACACTCTGCTTATGTGGCCCAGGGTTCACAGGTTCAGATCCTGGGCGCAAACCTATTCTACTCATCAGCCATGCTGAGGCAGTGACCCACATACAAAATAGAGGAAGATTGGCACAGATGTTAGCTCAGGGTGAATCTTCCTCAAAAAAAAAAAAAAGAGAGATCCTTATATAAATGTGTCAATCCATTTTGCAGCACAAAACAAAAAGGGTGAGATGTCTGAAGACAGTGTAGTCACATGTCAGTCATGGTGAGGGTTTCACCTTCCAGAGGGTCTATGGACGTGGGTGCACAGGCGGAGACATGCACCCTCCTCCAGAAGGGATGGTTTGGAGAGTTCTCTCTTCAGGAACGAAAATTGAACATTAGGCTCGTTGTAGCCCTGGGGGCTGGCAAGAGTGTCTCTACTCTCCCCATCACCAGCCCCCAACACTCACACACAAGGAAATGTCTGGTTTTAGTTTTTGTTTATTTATTTACTTTTATTATTTTTTTTTGGTGAGGAAGGTTGGCCCTGAGCTAACATCTTTTGCTAATCTTCCTCTTTTTGTTTGAGAAAGATTGTCTCTGGGCTAACATCCATGCCAGTCTTTCTCTATATTGTATCTGGGATGCTCCCACAACCTGGCTTGATGAGCGGTGTATAGGTCCGCGCCTGGGATCCAAACTCGTGAACCCTGGGCCGCCAAAGCAGAGTGAGCGAACTTAACCACTGTGCCACCGTGCCACTGGCCGGCCTCAAATGTCTGGTTTCAAAAGTGCTTATTTTGGGGGCTGGCCCCATGGCTGAGTGGTTAAGTTCATGCACTCTGCTTCAGCAGCCCAGAGTTTTGCCAGTTTAAATCCTGAGCGTGGACATGGCACTGCTCATCAAGCCATGCTGAGGTGGCGTCCCACATGCCACAATTAGAAGGACCCACAACTAAAAGTACACAACTATGTACTGGGGGGCTTTGGGAGAAAAAGGAAAAAAAAAGTGCTTATTTTGATCATCAGAGAAATTGAATGACAATTAGAAATCATGAATGTGACAAAATGGCAGCCTGGATCTGTACACAATGGGATGAGCAGGGAAAGTATAGACAAGAGAGGGGACCCAAGGGCTGTCCTTTCTCCCATCTGGTAGGATACGTCCCTGACCACGGCCCTCCTGCAGTCAGGGCTGGTGCTACGCTGACCCTGTGTTCTCTCTCTGAAAGGCAGTGTGCCCTGGCAGCCCTCCGTGATGTCCGGCGGTTTCTTAGTGACGAAGGGGGACATGTGGCGGTGAGTGTGCCATCTGGGAGTGCCATGGGAGCCCACATGCATCTACCCCTTTCATCAGGCATCTAGAGGGGAAGGCAGGGTGTGTGTGGCCCTGGATGCCCCTGGGGACCAGCACCTGGGAGGAAGAACCCAGAGGCTGGACGTTGGCCAGGAATTTCCCTCTGGGCTTGTGGTTGCATTTGACCTGCAGGACTTCCTTCTGAATACTCACATTCTTGGCCACCCCACAAGTTAGAGGCATCATGTTACCTACGTCTTTAGCAAGTGTGATTTTTCCTGCTGTGGGGAGAATCCTGCCCAGCATTTAGTGGCTGTTTCAGGAGCCAACTGAATCCTGGGTAAGAGAATTCCATGTGTGCACTGGGCCCTGTATCAGATGAATGGATAGGACAAGCAAGGCTGAGCAAGGGTGTCTGCAGGAAGGGGCCCTACCCCACCGTTATCCATGCATGACCATGCAGTCAAACATGGGAGCTCTTTTTCCTTCCTTTTTCCTCTTGGAGTCTTGCCTCCTGGAGCTCTCTGTCCTCCAGCTCCCTCTGGATCAGTTGCCCTCTAGTCTGTGACTCAGTCATCACCCTGGGAATTCCCCTCTCCTCTCTGAGTTGAATATCCTGCTCTTGGATCCCATGTCTTCTTTTTCCTTGGTTTACTGACTTGTTTTGTTGGAGCACATCCTCTAGTAACTTCCTGAGAAAGATGCTTGGGAAGTAGATTTCCTGAGACCTTGCATGTCTGGAACTGACTTTTTTTTCCCTCACATTTGATGGTTGGATATAGGATTCTAGGTGGGAAGTACTTTTTCCTTAGAATTTCCATGACGTTGCTCCATTATATTATGGCTGTGGCTGTAGAGAAGTCGGATGTCATTCTGATTTGCTGATCTTCCTAAAAGTCTCATCTCTTGGAGGGAGCCAGAGGCTTCTCATGCCCCTTCCCCGGGGGACCCTTTGGGGTCTTCAAAGTGCTGTGCCTTGTGGTGGGTCTTCACCACGCTGGGTCCTGGGGAGGCTCTTCCCATTGAGAAACTCTTCTCCAGCAGGTCAGGGAAGTTGTCATATATTATTACTTCAGTAAACCACCCCCACCACTTTCTGACAGATGATTCCTCACTCCGCTCCCATTTTCTGAATGTGTTTTCCTTAGAGCTCCTGATGGCTGCATACTTGGCTTGATCCCTAATTTTATCTTTTTTTCCTCTTTATTTTCTCTCTCTTTGTCTTTTTGTTCTACTTTCAGGGAGAATTCCTCAATATTAGCTTACAGGTATTCGGTTGAATTTTTTTTAATTTCTGTGATCACATTTTCAATTTCCAAATTTTAAATTTCTTATTCTCGGAATGTTAGGTCTTTTAGAACTCTTGTTTCACGGTTACTACAGCATTTTGTATCTCTTTGTAGATAATAATTGTAAGTGCTTTGACGTTTCTTTCTCTTCCATGCCCTGTCTTCATTTTCTCGAAGTTCGTTTCATTCTGTTTGATTTAGTCTCCATTTTTCATGTTAGAGGTTTTGCTGGAGCATCCAGCGAGCCCTGATTGAATGCCTTTTTAAAAAGTGATGCTCTGAAAGCTCCTTGGACATGCCGGGGAGTGGGCTTTGCCTGTAGGTGCTTGGGCAGGCCCCAGGCACTTCATGAGGACCCTGAGCTGATCAATGCATGGCTGAGTGAGGTGGCGGGGGCCTGGGGCTCCTCCTGCTCTTTGTTGTACCACCAGCCTGTCCTCCCATTTCCTCTGCACTCTTGTCCCTGGTTTCAGAGATGCCTGAGCCCCGTTTCCTGACTACCCCAGTTCTGCATAAGTGGGTGTGTTCTGGTCCACGAGGGCTTGTGTTTGTTTTTCTCCATTTCTGAGTCACCATGTGTCTATCTTAGAAAATTTTGTTGATGTCTCCCGTCTCCTCTCCTCTCCTGTTCTCTTTATCCTTCTGTTCCCATTTTACTGGGATCTCAGGATAGAGTGGAAATAACGTAGGTTCGGATCTCTGCCCCTACCAGTTTAACTGGTTTCCCTGGAAGTCCTGTTGGTCAACCGTGAACTGAGCGCCTGCTATGTGCAGAGCAGTCTAAGAGTTTGCTTCCCTGCTTGGAGCACAGGCTCTCCCTCCTTCCAGCTTCCTTCCAGTGTGCTCCCCAGGCAAGGGGAGGACCTGCCCAGCCCTTGCAGGTCTGAAGGAGCTGGCCAGGTGGGCGGCCCAGGCAGCACCTGCTCCTGGTGAGAAATGCGGTCCCTGGGCTGCACCTGTCAGCTGGCCTCCTCCTTCCTCCAGGGCCAGAGGCCGAGTTAACCCCAGTTTGGTCCTAGGTTTTTGATGCAACAAATACCACCCGAGAACGGAGGGCGACCATCTTTAATTTTGGAGAACAGAACGGCTACAAGGTGAGGCCTCACTGGCTCACCTCTTTGGTTGTGCTATGGTGCATTCGGGCCCTCTGGGGTCCGTTTCACAGCCTCCTGATGCATGCAGGGCTTGGGGCAGGTGGGCTCCCTAGTGGATTTGGGATTAGAGGGGCTGCGCTTTTTTCTCTGCCTGGGATTTTCTTTCCGGGGAGGCAGGGGTCTTGGTGGGAGAGTCCTGGATAGGGTGGCACCTGCTTTGGTTCCATGCTCCTTGACCCTGCCCCAACACCAGAGGGGCTCGGGGGCCTGGCTGTTCAGCATGGCCCTCAGTGGGGTAGGGAGCTCTGTGGGCCAGGTGCAGAGCCCTAAATGTGTCTGTGGTTTCTTTCCTCCTGCCTGTCCTGGTCCTTGCTGCAGACCTTTTTTGTTGAGTCCATATGTGTGGATCCTGAGGTCATAGCTGCCAACATCGTGGTGAGTGGTGCATCTGACCTTGTGGGGGCAGTAATGCAACTCAGGTGGCATGTAACAGTGAGGTCCCTCTCCAGGTTTGTGCTGGTGTCTAGGCTAGCCTTAATTTGGTCTTCCTGAACCTTCTGGGGTTGAGGAAGCAGTAGAACGTTGGGTTGGGTGAACCTGGAGCCCTGAGGAGCACTCAGTGTGGAGGGCATTCATTCATTCATTCATTCATTCATTCATTTATTCTCCTCCCCTTCCCTTCCCTCCCCCTCCCCCTCCCCTTCACAATTCCCTGGACAATAAAAAAGTAACTTCAGCCTCCGGGGGTTGGGTTGAGAGTGGGGTGGGGGGTGATGTTTGTATTTTGAAAGAGAAAGAGACTTTCTCCCCTGCCCTGCCCTCCCATGTTTATCCAAGGAATGAACATCTGGGTTTGGGGAGATAGTTCAGGTGGGGAGGACCTTCCAGGTCCCCTACCCCTCTGGGCTCACCTCCCTCTGTGCTACAAAGATGAGAGGCTCCAATCTCAGGGTGCCCAGTAATAGCCACTTAGTACTAGCGTGGGAACTTGGACCAGGAAGCCTCTTGACTTCCTAATGGGACCAGCCGCCTACGGTTGGCCTCCAGCCTCGCGCCCCCTGCCTTGGCCTGACCTCCAGCCTAGCCTCCCCTGCCCAGCCCTTGCCCAGTATTCTCCTTGGTCTCTGCCCTGCCTGGCCTCCAGCCCTGATGTGCCCTTGCTCTGTGCCTGCCTCCGGCAGCAAGTGAAGCTGGGCAGCCCTGACTATGTCAACCGCGATAGTGACGAGGCCACAGAGGATTTCATGAGGCGCATCGAGTGCTATGAGAATTCGTACGAGTCGCTGGATGAGGACCTGGACAGGTGAGCGAGGAGAGCCCTGTGTCCTGCAGCTATGATGAGTGGGTGGTGGAGGCCCCACTCAGCTGCCTCCTTGTGGCTCCCCATGGAGGTGGCTGAGGGCAGAGATGGTCTGGCTTTTTTTGGTTTTTTCCTTGGGGCAGAAATCGTGGGCTGGAGGTGACTCGCAGAACCCCTGTGACCTTACTGGAGTTCTGCGAGTCAGAATTTTCTCCTATTCCATCATAAAGTCGAGCCTAATTTCTATGTAGAAAGTCTTCCCATAAGGCATTTGCAAACATGACATGCTCTTCTTCAGATGTGTAGTCTGGATTTTGAGAACCCTGCCTATGAACAGCTGGCAGTGGCTGGTGCTTGTGAGCTCCCCCTTGCCTCCCTCTGGAATGGAAGAAGCAGCAGGAGTGAGTGTTGGGTGGGGAGGGGTCTTTAGGCTCATAAGGGCATTTAACTGAGGCTCTTACAGCAGTGGTCAGCAAACTTTTTCTGTAGAAGGTCAGGTAGTAAGAATTTTAGGCTTTGGGGGCATACAGTCTCTGTAGCAAGTACTTAACTCTGCCAGTGTAGTGCAAAAGAAACATAGTATGTAAATAAATGGGCGTGACTGTGTTCCAATAAAACTTTATTCACAAAAACAGGCTGCAGGCTGAATTTGATTTGCTGGCCGTAGTTTGCCAACTCCTGTCTTACAGCATAAGTGGGGGCAGTGGTTAAGTAAATGATAGTGTAACCCCTTGGTAAAGTATTACACAGTCATTATAAATCATACTGGAAAGTCCTGGGAAAGTATATGTTATGTAGTATTAAGCAAAAAGGCTGGAATATAAACTTGTGCTTGGGTCGTTAGAATTACATGAGAATATATAATGCATAAAAACCAAGAAAAACAAGCAAGTGTTGGAGGGATGGTTTCTGGGGGTGTTTACAGACAGTCCCTGGACTGGCTGTAAGTCTCCTCAGCTGGGCTCTTGAGCCAGCCCAGGCGAGTGGGCCTAAGCTGTGCTTGCTGCCCGGGCCTCGCTCTGGTTTTCAGTGTTTCCTCTGGTCCCCCCAGCACAGCATTCCTCCTCATGGTTCTGTGATGTGACTACATTAGAGGGGCTTAATCTAGAGCGGCTCCTGTTGAATTTGTCAGTAAACGTTGCTCCTGTTTTTATTGGTGGTATCAGTATAACAACCTTAAACCTCAACTGAGGTCCCATGGTCCACACAGTGAGAACTCACATGAGAACATCCAACAGGCTCCCAGGCTCAACCAGAACATGATACCTGAGAAACCCTGCCTTTTCCTCCTGCTGCCCGCCCCCGCCCCCAACAAACGTAAATGGAAGCGTGTTCTCCAAGCCGCAGCATTGCACTGGTCCAAAGCAGGGGAAGTGGCAGAGCTGGGTTTGTCAGCTGCTGCCACCAGCACCTTCCTCCTGTACTTCTTGTCTCGTCCACCTGCTGCCTAGTATGGGGTGTGGCAGCCACTCGGATGACCTGGGCTGGGTTCTAGGGGGAGGCTCACTGGGAGAAGGAAAGGCCAGGTCCATGGATGGCTGACCAGGAAGAGTGGAGGGGAGGAGCATTTGCCAGCTACTCCTAGGTCAATCTTGGAAAAAACTGTCTCTTGGTTCATCTTGCAGACAGTGCGTTGAGAGCTCAGAGGTAGGCCAGAAGGGATCTGGGGGTACAGAGCAGCGGTAAAAGTCACAGTGTGGTATGACTGACCCCTCGCTTTGGATGTCACCTCTTGGCAGCATGAGTGTTAAGCACCTCTCACAGGGTTCGTCTGTATATCACGCATGTTGTGTTGCTCCCACCTCACCCCCATCACTCGTCCACCAGCTGACGGTCCTGTGGGTTGTGATGTCAAGCCTGGGGGTCAGAGATGTGAGGCTGTGCAGCCCATTCCTGTGGCTGGCAGGATGTGCCCTTGAGGGCCCTCGTCACACTCACAGGCCTCTCTCTACCTTCTCTCTGGAAAGAGATCTGTCCTACATCAAGATCATGGACGTGGGACAGAGCTACGTAGTGAACCGTGTGGCTGACCACATCCAGAGCCGCATCGTATATTACCTCATGAACATCCATGTGACCCCCCGCTCCATCTACCTCTGCCGGCACGGGGAGAGCGAGCTCAACCTCAAGGGCCGGATTGGTGGGGACCCAGGACTATCTCCCCGGGGCAGGGAGGTGAGTGTGTGTGTGTGTGTGTGTGTGTGTGTGTGTGTGTGTGTGGCTGTGCATTGGTACCTCTAGGTGGCTAGGTTTGGGTATGTGCCGCGTGTGCTGGGGCTGGGCGTCAGTTCTCATAGCTAATGTGCATTTGAGGTAGATGACCTTCATTCAGTCTAGAATGTTCCCATCATGTAGGGAGGGTCACCAAACAGATACCTGGATCTCTGGCTTCCATGTGAGCTGTCACCAGCTGAACCCCTTTCCTTGGAGAGACATGCCATTCTAGGGGTGACCTGAGTCCCTGCGGTGCAGCGGATAGTTGTGCCACAGTCCAGCGGAAATATTGGGGCCTCAGTGGGGAGGTCATACAGTCTAGGGTGCATAGTGGGAGTACGGGGGGGTGGCAGGGGACATGATGAGCCATGACTGGAACTGCACTCAGGGTCTGGGAAGGAGGCACAAGAACAGCAGTTGTGGGTGTGGGTGTGACTGAGACATTAGTTTGGGTTTTTTACCAAACCTGTGTTCTCTGAGGCTGAGCATGACCCCGTGGACTCTGGCTGTGGGGTCCTTTGAGGGCAGCCCAGGACCTGTGGGTCTGAATTTGCTTGTGATGTGTTTCAGTTTGCCAAGAGCCTGGCCCAGTTCATCAGTGATCAGAACATCAAGGACCTGAAGGTCTGGACGAGCCAGATGAAGAGGACAATCCAGACAGCCGAGGCACTGGGTGTGCCTTACGAGCAGTGGAAGGTCCTCAACGAGATCGATGCGGTAGTCACCATCTCTTCCCTCCCTGCCCAGGTCTCCGGGGCACGGCTGCGCTCAGCTAGGGTGACAGTGTTGAGGGTCAGGAGAGCTTCCCCTTAACTTTTCTTCCTGTTTTGGGGTTTTCATTGTCCCTCCCTCCCTTCCTTCCCTTCTTTTGCATTTAACTGTTTAGATAAACCAGAATTTATTTTGATATTCTGACATAAGCCTTAAATCTCATCTTTCCCCAGTTAACTAACTTATCTGTAACTATCTATCATTTTCCTGTTGATTTGTTTTATCTACTCTTATATTAAGTTATTACGTGAAATTTATTTATCTGTTCATGCACCAATATCACACTGTTTTACCTATGGCAGTTTTTCACTGTGTGTATTGGCCACTTGGATATCTTTTGTGAGGTCTTTTGCACTTTTTTCCCCCTATTGGATTGTCTGCCTTTTACTTATTGATTTTAGGAGTTCTTCATGTACTCTGGATATGATGCATATCTGGTAATTTTTGATTGAATCTGGACATTTTGTGTGAACAGTTATGGAGATAATATGAAGTTCTGCTTAATGTTATCTTTCTCCAGAGGATTAGGTTTTGCTTCTGGCAGGCAGTTGGAGCAGATTACCTTAGTCTCATCAGGGATAGAACTGTTTCAAAGCTGCATGTTTTGTTTTTGTTTTTGTTTTGATGAAGACTGGCCCTGAGCTAACATCTGTTGCCAATCTTCCTCTATTTTATGTGGGATGCTGCCACAGCTTGGCTTGACAAGCGGTGCTGGGTCTGCGCCTGAGATCCCAACCTGTAAACCCTGGGCCACCAAAGTGCAGCACACAAACTTAATCAGTACTATGCCACCCGGCTGCCTCCAGAGCTGTGTTTTAATCCTTATGGAGGCTACTCAATTTTCAGGTCCTTCTGTTTCTAGAGTGTAGCCTTTAAGGTGCTGATGGAAAACCTTGTGGGCCCTAAGCTTCTATTTTTTGTCTCCTCAGCCTAAGATTGCTGACAGCTGTGCCAAGCTTCTGCCCACCCAGCCCCTACTTCCTGCTTGGCTTCTCATCATTTCCCCCCCAGTTTTATTGAGATATGATTGACATATAACTTTGTATCAGTTTTAGGTGTGCAACACGATGATTTCCTATATGTATGTATTGTGAAATGATTAGCACAAGTTTAGTTAACATCCATCACCCCACAGAGTTATACATTTTTTTTCTTGTGATGAGAACTTTTAAGATCTACTCTCAGCAACTTTTAAATATACGATACAGGATTAAGTTTAGTTAGCAGTGTAATGCTGTACATACATCATAGCTCCAGAACTTATTTATCTTATAACTGCAAGTTTGTATTTTTTGACCACCTTCACCCATTACCCCTACCCCCAGCTGCTTATTCTTTTAACTGCCACTTTCCCTCAAAGGGAAAAATGATGCTATATATCAGGTTCACCTCTTTGGTCTTCCCTTTAGTCCAAGATCTTGGCCCCTCAAATCCTCTCTGCCTTGTAGCTCTATGCTGATCTCAAACAGATTTAAATTTTTTTTCTGTCTGACTTTTCTAATTGCTGTCACTGGAGGGTTGGTCTGAAACAAGCTAGTCCACCATTGCCTAAAGTGGAAGTCACTAATGAGATCAGATTTGAATCTTAGAAAGATCACCCCAACTGATGTAGAGAATGGTTCTGTTGGGATGAGGTTGGGGGGACCAAGCTGGAGAAGGGAGACTAGTTAGAGGTGCCTGCAGTGGCCTGGTAAGGTGATGACATCTGTGACTTGGGTGGCAGCAGTGAAAGAGAAAGGAGTGGATGGATTTGAGGGACGTTATTCCCTCATCATGTATTCATGTGAACCTCCCAGTGGTAGGAAGTGGGCCACGTGCTGGGGACTGAGAGCCTGGTGAAGTGATAGAACCTGATGATAACTGGCTGTGGGGGTAAAAAGGAGAGAAATCCAGGATGACTCCACATTTCCAGCCACCGGGAAATGTTCTGGGTCGAGGAAGGTGATGAGCTCACGTGAGGGCAGTAGCTATGTCTGCTTTGTTCACCACGTGGTAGGTGCTCAATAAATATGTACTGAATGAAAGGAGGAAGTTCGTGGGAGATGTTCAAGAGCAGATACCCTGGAGGCAGTCTGATCTCCGAGGAGAAGTCGGGGCTTGGGCATCCTTCCTACAGACGTCGTACTTGAGACTGTGGAATGGATGAGGTGGCTGAGGGAAGAGAAGTGGGACCAGGACAAAGCCCTGGGGAGCCCCAGCATTTAAGGGGCTATGGAGGTGACCATGGAAGTGAAAGCAGAGAGAAGGAGGCAGTGGTCAGTGGGGTGAGATTCCACAGAGAGTGGGGAGTGAGGCCAGGCTCCAAACTGACCATTAGGATGTAATAGCAAGATCATTGGGGTTCTTGGCATGAGCCTGGTGGGGCTGGTGCCCAATGGGAGTGGGTGGGGAAGTGAGTGAGAGGGATTATAACATTGTATTAGTTTTAGGTGTGCAACATGATGATTTAATGTATGTATATACTGTGAAGTGATTACCACAATAAGTTTAGTTAACATCCATCACCTCACATAGTTGCAAATTTTGGAGGGGGCTCAGAGTCAAGGGAGAGAGTGAGCATACAAGGAGTGAGAATACGGGAGGCCCTGACGGGTGGCCAGAGAGATTCTGGGGTATCAGGAGGGGAGAGGGGTGCGGGTGGCCACAGAGAATTATGTCTAGTATCTTTTTCTTCAGAATCTCATGGAGATTTCCCTTAAGAGTGAGAGGAAGGAAAAGTTTCAAATGGAAGTTAACCAATGGGAAGAGTTAGCTGGTCTAGAGACCAGGAATTTTCTGGGATACTTTTGTCTGTGTCCTGGGGGTGGTCCACCAGCTCCCAACAGATGGATGCAGCTGTGTAAAAGGCAGACTGCTTGTTAACTTGTCACCTTGTTCAGTTTTGTCCCTATGGATATGATGGAAGCACAGGGGGACAGAGGAGGTGAGTAGTTGGGAGGAGGGTAGTGAGGACACATGGTATGGAATGCATTCAAGCTGGAAAAGATTTGGGGAGCAGATGGGGGAGTCCACGGCATTATGAGATGGGAGGGGCCCCAGGGGACAGGGTTCATTGGGGCAGGTAGGCCAAGGAGGCTGACAGTAGGGGTGTTAACAAGGGACACAGCTCCAGTGTCCTGTGGGAGGTTGAGCCACTTGGCCACAAGGAGGAAGCCTTATTGTTGTTTCTTGTGAATAAGATCTTGTCCCGACTCTGTCTGGTTGTTGATGGTCCACAGAAAACCCATGACAAAATTCCTTTATTTACTGTAGTAATTTTCCAGTTAATTCTCTTAGGTTTTCTTTCTTTTTTTTATTTTAACTTTTTGTTGTTGTTGTTTTTTGAGGAAGATTAGCCCTGAGCTAACTGCTGCCAATCCTCCTCTTTTTGCTGAGGAAGACCGACCCTGAGCTAACATCCGTGCCCATCTTCCTCTACTTTATATGTAGGATGCCTACCACAGCATGGCTTGCCAAGTGGTGCCATGTCTGCACCCAGGATCCAAACCGGCAAACCCCGGGCTGCCGAAGTGGAAAGTGCGCACTTAACTGCTGTGCCACCGGGCCGGCCCTCTCTTAGGTTTTCTTAAGGAGCTATCAGATCTTCTGAAATAAGGATAATTCAGTTTTCACCTTCACAGACTTTGTGTTTCTGTTTTGTATTATTGCATTGGCAAGAATAAGTGACGGGCAAACTAGATTTCCTTGTTTGCCTCTTAATTTAATGGGCTGATATTATAAAATGAATTTGGTGGATTTTCAGTCTCTTCTGAGCCTTTAGGATTCACTCCTCCTTCAGCAAAGCTCCCTGACCTGGGGCTTTGTATTCTTTGAGTTAATTCTTTGATGACAATTAAAGTGTATTCTTTGGTCTATTTTTTTAAACATATTCTTGAGTCATCTTTTTTGTCCTCTGATGTTTTATTATGAAAAGTTTCAAAGGAACAGAGCACCAGTGAAGTGTGAGAACAATATAAGGCAAACTAATACATGTGTGACTGGAATCCTAGAAAAAGATGGGTGTAGAGAACAGAAAAGAAATATTTGCAGAAATAATGGGTAAAAGTCAGAGAGTTGTTCAGTTGCAAAGGGGAGAAGGCAACTTTTTGGATGATCGAATTTATATCGTGATTGTGGTGGTGGTTATATAACTTTATACATGTGTTAAAACTCATTGAAGGGGCTGGCTCCGTGGCCGAGTGGTTAAGTTCTCGCGCTCCAGCTTGAGCGGCCCAGGGTTTCGCCAGTTTGGATCCTGGGCGCGGACATGGCACTGCTCATCAGGCCATGCTGAGGTGGCATCCCACATTCCACAACTAGAAGGACCCACAACTAAAAAAAAAATATATATATATATATATATATATATATATATACACACACACAACTATGTCCTGGGGGCTTTGGGGTGAAAAAGGAAAAATAAAATTAAAAAAAATTAAGATTAAAAAAAATAACATTGAATTGTACTTAAAATTGGTAAATTTTATTGTATGTAAATTTTACCTCCATAAAAATGATAATTTCCTCCTTCCCTCAAAAAGTTTCAAACAGATAGCAGAGTTGAAAGATTTTTATAGGAACACCTGTATACCTGCTATATTAGCTTTCTATTGCTGCATAACATATTACCACAGACTTAGTGGCTTCAAACAACACACAATATTATCTCACAGTTTCTGTGGGTCAGGAGTCTGGCAGGGATTGGCTGGGTTCGCTGCTCAGGGTCTTATCAGGCTGCAGTCAAGATGTTGGCCAGGGCTTTGGTCTTATCTGAGGCTTGGGGTCTTCTTCCGAGCTCATGTGGTGTTGGCAGAATTCCTCTCCTTGTGGTTATAGGAGTGAGGTCCTTGGGGCCGGCCTCGTGGCCTCGTGGTTAAGTTCGTGTGCTCCACTTTGGCAGCCCAGGGTTTCACTGGTTCAATCCTGGGCGCTGACATGGTACCGCTCATCAAGTCATGCTGAGGCGGTGTCCCACATGCCACAACTAGAAGGAC